TATTGATCTGACCTCTTCACACACCTTGCTCAGACTCGAACCCAGTCGTTACGCTTTTTTCGATACGCTTGAAAGGGCCGATGGGAAGGAGAGAAAATGCGCCTTCCCTTCCCTTCATGCATTGCGCGCCKCTGAAGAGAAGCGACTGGGTACGAGTCTGCAAATATGAAGGTAGAAAATACATTTATTACCAGCCATTTTTACAACAAATACACGAATAAAGCAAAGAAAGAAAATTGTGTCTTCTCACATAGAAAGTGAAAATTCTTGTGGACACTCAGGGCGCTTTTCATTTGTTAATTAACTATCAAATTTATCGTAGAGACAAGTTCTTATATTTTCTTTTTACCTTATAATGCGATGCTACATACAACGCCATTAACCGCTGTAGAAACACCTCCGATGCCTTGTGGTACGAGAATAGAGTATCTCTATTGACATAATATCTAACAAATAACAATCAAGGGGCAACAACTTTCTTAAAGGCACAGCTGCACCAAAAAAAAACCTTTGAGCGATTTTCTCAAGTATGTAAAATCGCCATCTTTGATTATGAACCAATCAGAAAGGCAACTTTTAAAAACAAAACTTTTTTTAAAACAAAGCAAACTACAATTGCGCCCCGTCTTACGGCCACTCGCTTACAGAAAAAAATCATTGCATCACGTTTAGATTTTGTTCTTTACTTCAATCTAAGGGGCGGAGATTTTTGTGAACTCGTTCAGTCATTGCCTGATTTGCAGCAAGCTTCAACCCAAAGTCGCAGAAAAACCTAAATCCTAACAATTTCTTTTGAATATTGTATTCGCGATGCAACGGTTTCTGCTGTAATACGACCACTCCGCTATCCTGGCGAACTAAACCCTCATACTTTTCTACTCGGTTAATAAGGCTACCCGTTAAGGTTAATACGCCTGCTTTTTGATTAACGAGTTTCCAGTACATTGCAAACGTTTTCGGGTGGAAGTGATACAAAATACAGGTAACTCTCTTTAAACGACCACTCTCGTAAGCGACCATCTCTCGTAAGCGTCCACCTTTTAAATTTCCTATTTTGTTAACTCCAATATACACTCTGTAAAAGAAAAACTCTCTCGTAAGCGACCATCTTTCGTAAGCAACCACTTTTTCCTGATCCCGAGGTGGTCGCTTACGAGAGAGTTGACTGTATTAGAGTAATTTTTTGACTGCATTTGGAACGTAGAAGTAAACTAGATGAACCGGTTAAGCCAGTAAGCTGACCAGTAAGCTAGATGAGAGTAAGGATACAAGTCACACTTATCAGGCACTGGGCAYCCACCAGCGATATTAGCTGCTACAGTAGCATCCAAACACAGCAGGCCATTTAACCATTTCTCTACATCGTCATTAGGCGCATATCGAATCGACTCATTTAATGCRACCTCATGTAAAATTCTCCCCATGGGGGTGGTAGAGGAGTCAGATTTTGTMGCCATTGYTCCTTGTTTGACACTTTGTTGTCGGAGTTGGTTGATAAGCTTCAAKGACAGTGATCTTCCAGTTCCTTCATAACTAATTGAAAAGAAGAAAAATATTGAAAAATATCAAATATATTGAAAATATTAACAATATCGAAAAATATTGAAAATATTGAAAAATATTGAAAATATTGAAAAAAAACTAAATATATTGAAAATATCAAAAATATCGAAAAATATTCTTTTCCTTCTTTTTTTTATAAAAGAAAAACAAAAATGACATCTCCATTGAGTTACAAGTCTATGAGCCTTGCTCCTGAAAAACRAGATTTTGAGTCAAAAAAMTACTTACCCATTTATTGTGGACGACATGAATACGAGGTATGGCCCAAGAAGACTTTTTACTAAMGGCAAAGGTATGGCAGCCGCTTCATCTATACAAACTAACTCAGCTTGGCCAAGTTTTTGTGCATCAGAAGGATGAATATACTGAAAGTCAGTTCAAAATAGTATTAAAAACTTTACATAAAAAAAGGTTTTTAAAACAATGACTTAAAGAGATTCAGCAACCACAAAKGAAACATTGCATGGTGCACTTTGATCATAAAAGAAAATATCAGTCTACAGTTTTCGAAAAGGGTTTGTGCTACACTTTCACAACAAAATCCCAAGAACTTCCCAAGTACTTTCCAAGCGCAAAAATTCGATATTTGAGTCTTTCTCATTGCGATTATTGAACATGTCCTCATTAGTACTACATTTCAAAGAAAAGGTAGAAAAAAACCTTAAGCAGGTTCAGGAGAAAAAAGGAGTTTATTTGTCTGTTTTCATCCTTTTCAAGGAGAGGCACGAASCCTGTCTTCTCAAGTGGAGAGTGGAGTTCCATATCTTTTCACTATACCTTCTCCATCTCCTTCTCTGCTTTATTTCACTAGGTTTAAACAGTGTGGCCACTGAACGTACTATGCATATAAAAAACACAGTGTTAATGGTATCAGTACCTGTATTGTTTGTCTGTGTTCTCTAAAAATATTCACTCGTACAACAGCTTTGTTGAACTCTGGGTTGGTTGACTGAACCAGTTCATAATCGATATGTTCCTATAGGAAATTTTACAGAAAAGATTCAGAATAAGAACCTACAGCGTTTAATAATATATGGTTATTGCAGCGGGTCCGTGCAGAGTATCAAAAACGAAATTTAAGGACTTTTCAAGGACTTTTTCCAGGACCAAAATTGTATTTTCAAGGAGCATCAAAATAATTGTACATTCTTACCTCAAAACGTCAGCCGAACGGAATAATTCAGAAATTGCTAGCGCTTCGTGATAGAGATCTATCTTTTTCAAGGCCTTTTGCCGCACGGTTACCGCACAGTTACCGGACCTGGCCTGCACAATTTTGGTGAACCAATGGGCAGTAGAATTCGGTTACAGTACGATTACGGTCACAGTACAATACCGTCCGTTTCCCACTCATACGAAATCCGCTCTATTAGAACCCTCCCCAACAAACACGTTTGCACTGTGTGGGCTTCCTGTATCTAGTGAACACAGGTTCCCCATCAGAGAAGTCTATGCATTACCTGATATTCCAAAGCATCAAACCCCTTAAAWACGAACTCAAATAAAGTGTGGAGATTTTCTGGACTTGGTGAGGTCACAAACATATTGGAATAGCTAAAAGTAAGGAAAAAAGTCACTGTTAGAGCTGATTCTTGACTGTGCAAGGGATTGGATCACAGCACAGACACTGCATAGTGTGGACATGGAACCTCGCTTGGTATGATTCAAGACACATTGTTGAATAAGGATTCCTCCAGTGGATAAAATCATCCACCAATGCTTTAAAGGGACACTGTCAATGGCACGCATGCGCAAGTAAACTTGAAAAGATTAGGCTTATGTTTTCAAGTTTACAACTCCAAGTTGGCGCAACGCATGACAAAAAAAATGTACTCGTAAACGTAAAAAGATCTAGAAGATTCCAAAGTGTGTCAAAACATTGATTTACCTCGAAAGTAATACTTCCAAAGTCCGTTAGAAGCAAGACTGTTACTGAGCATGTCATCCATTGACAGTGTCCCTTTAAGTAACCAGCCCCAAAATTAAACTGATTTAGTATAGTATATAGAAGCTTACAACTGGCACTTGTAAGCAAAACAACTGAAGAAATGAGAGCAAAGGCTTTGAAAACTTTGTGTTTGTTTACAGCTTACCCAAATGCTACAGCAGATGCTAATGCCAGGCCAAGTGCAGCAGACTTTCCTCTGCCACGAGCTGCTGTGAGTGACACAGTAGTTCTTAGTGTTTTCTCTGATATTGCTTCAATGAACTTGAGTAAAGCTTTAGCCTTTGGTTACACATAGAATCAAGACAAGAAGTCAGAATGTCTGTTAGTGCATTCAAAAACAAAGTAAATACATTACAGGAAAAACAACAACAAAAAACAACAATCAGGGACCATGCAGACTATAAAAAACGAAATTTAAGGACTTTTCAAGGACTTTTCAAGGACCAAAATTGTATTTTCAAGGAACATCATAATCATGCTAATTGTACATTCTTATCTCAAAACTTCAGCCGAACGGAATAATTCAGAGATCGCTAGCGCATCGTGATAACGATCTATCTTTTTCAAGGAGTTTTCAAGGACTTTTTCGAAATTTTCAAATTTTCAAGGAGTTTCAAGTGCCCTTGAAAACGAGTTTTCAATTCAAGCACTTTTCAAGGATTTAAGGACCTGCACGGACCCTG